GCCAGCATGGCTGGCTGGGGAATTCTGGGAGTTGAAGTCCACGCATCTTAAAGTTGCTAAGTTTGAGAAGCACTGCTATAGGGGGAAAAGCAGATGAGAACTCACACGCCTGTGAACTCTGCCCGCCTTTTTGCACACTGGCCCACTCTTTAGTTCCACGCCCCACTTCATTTCTGTCGTGGCGCCTTGTCCGGGAACCCGTGAAAGAAATCGTTGCACGCCATGGCCATGCAGGCGAGGAACGTGGCGTATTCTTGGAAATCCACCTGGTTATCCTTGTTGCTGTCCAGGTTGCTCATGATCTTTTGGAACGCCGATTCGTCCTTTTTCTTCTGCGGGAGAGAAACGGAGCTTTTTGTGTTTGGGAAGCCAGAGAGGATCCCCCCCCCCCCGGCTTCATTCTTGCGGCTGTTCTGTAGTTGAGGGTGGCGGGGTGAGTTTTAGATGGTGGCTTGTTTGGGAGAGCCCAAAGCAGGGTTTGGACATGTGGCTCTTGGTTTAGGAAACCTCGTCATCTTCCAAATCGCGCTCTTTGGAGCGCCTGCTCTCAGAATTTGGTGTCAATTAATTCGGTGCCCCATCTGGATGTTGGGAGGTGGGGTGGCAGGAAGACAAACCAGGGTTTAGCTGATTAAGCCAGGGTTATGGGGCCGGTTTCCAAGACCAGCTTGGGACGTGCGTGCGTGTGTGTGTGAAGTGCACAATGCAACTGTTGTTTCTCCTTTGAGCATTTCCTTCCCCTCTAATTTGTTGGCAAAATCATGTCTCTGCGGGCATTAGATGTACCTCCTTGTTTTGGCTCTGCGGCCTCCGAAAAGCCCTGAATGGATCCAACCAAATGGGTTGTAACTCCCCGCCACGGGAACTAGCCCTTATTCTAACTTTATTTGATTTATATCCTGCTTTTCATGCAGGAGCTCAAGGCAAGGAACAGGGGTCAGCTGCTCGCGGCTCTTTGCCCGCAGACCGCCCTTGGCCCAATTCCCCAAAGTTCCCTGCAAGCGGCTGATTCGGCTGCTCTGGTCTGTTTCTCTCTTGGCAAGAGAAGGGAAAAGAGGAGAGAAAGAGGGGCGGAAAGAGGCGATGGGACGAGAAAAACGCCCCATCTTTGGGTTAAATAAACTTTGCGGGGTAATTCATTCACTGAGGGACTTACGCTGATGAATCCGGGCAGCTCCTGCGTCAGCAGCTCCTTCAGTTCTGTGTGGTTGAGTTTGAAGTGATCTCCCTCCTTCTGGGAATATTTGTGGAAAGTGAGGACCATTGTGTCTAAAGCTTTTTCCAGGGGTGTGGCCATTTTCGGATGCTGTTGAAAGAGGATGGACCAGGGGAATCAGACAGAAGCGGTGGAATTAAACTTCTCGTGCCAATGAGGTCCTAGCACAGTGTTTCTCCAGCTTGGCCACTTTAAGATGGGTGGACTTCAACTCCCAAATTCCCCAGCCAGTGTGCTTTAAGATGAGTGGACTTCAACTCCCAAATTCCCAACCAGCGTGCTTTAAGATGGGAAATTCTGGGAGTTGAAGTCCACCCATCTTAAAGTTGACAAGCTTGAGAAACACCCCTCTAGCAAGTGGAAGGGACTACTTGTAGGTAGGAAAAACAGCCACACTCCAATTCAAGAGGAAAATTCCTAGGAACGCCAACTTTGGCAGACCCTTTTAAATTAAAAAAAAAAAAAAATTAAAGTAAATTCACCCTCTAACGTTTGGAAGGATGGGAGGTTCCAGCTGGGAGGGGGGTTCGTGGCATGTGATTGGGGGGGGGCTTTTTCCAATCCCCCACTTTTATTTCCAAGAATATTTCCTTTCCCCAAAAGAGAGCAATAAAAGGGGAAGAAAAAAGAGAAAGTGGCGGTTGGGGGGGGAATCCACCCATCAGAGCAAAACATTCATGCGTCGTTGCTCCTCCAGCGTCTTTGGTGCTTCTACGGCTTGACTTTAGTAGGCTTCAAATAGGTCAGGAAAGAAGAAAGTGTAATTGCA